CCCAAGCCCGCCGGGCTCCCACTCACCGAATTCACGGCGTCCTGCAGCTGCGTTAGACGGTCCGCCATTTTTCTCCCGAAAGCTCCGAGAAAGAGCGACCAGCCAATGGGCACGTTTTATATTGGATGCGGAAGCGGGCAGGAAAGCTGCTAGGCAACGCTTCATCGTTGCCTCTCTGGGCGGCTCGTTTCCGAGATAAAGTCGCCGTAATCAATGCCGCCCTTTCTCGATCTCTATGGTAGGGGTGGTGCTCCTCTGGTGGACGGGAGGAGGTATCGCTGTTCTCTTCGCTATAAAAGTACTTTGGTACTGAGAAATGAAATAATTTTATGCAAATATATTTCTAAAAAAAATCCCAATCTCAATCCCAATATATATTTCTATTACTTTTGAGAAAATATGAATAAGATGCTATATTTATGTTTGTTTACTAATTTTAAGTAACAAAGAGCTTGCTGAATAAGGTCTCCAGACCATTTTTAATCATTTATAATGTAGATTTATAAAGGCCTCTCCGATTATTATAGAGTCTGGGCAGGAGGAAGACGTTTTTATTTTCTTTAGAGAAAATTTATTATCAAGCATAATATATTTCTAGCCCTGGTTAATTAACCTGCATGACATTGACCACAATGTTTCACCTGCTGGATTTTAGGTACAGAAAGCCAGAAGTCCTGCAAAGATTCCTCTGGGGAAATAATTATCAATTGCAAGCTTTACATAATTATTTGCTAGTGATCCCCGTCTGGTGGTGTGTGATTTATCTGGGGAAAGTGCATAGATTCAGACTGGGAGATAAACCTTATTTAGCTCAGTGGAAAATATTTCTGGCTGAGTCAACAGACTGACCTGGGAAAGGTATTGTAACCACAAGCCATAATTTAGCACACACAGTTGTAGATTATCTCTGTCGACTAAAATGAATGTTTCTCAACCAGCTGGGAATCCTGGGAGTTGAAGAGCACACATCTTTAAAGTTGCAAAAACTAAGAAACCTCAGCCTAACTCGGCCCCAATCTGGGTCTGTTTGAACCTTGAAAATGCAAGGATCTTCAGCTCACAGTTGCAGGTGGAGATAATGGATATTCTTGAAGTTAGAATGGAAGGAGAGAAATTTCACAAATCTTTAAACCAACTTAAAACGTCAGATCAAGCGGGGGGGGGGCTTGTGGTTTTTAAGGACATTGAATTTCTGGGTGTGAAAAAAGTGGGGATCCTATCTTTTTTGCTGGGATCCATCCAAAACCTAATGGCTGCATTTATAAAAGTGTTTCTGCTTGACTAGTTTTAAGTGTTTTCTTCTTCCTCTTTCTCACGGCCTGCAGATGCATTGGGTTCAAAATACTGGGCTTGTGAACTAATCCAGAACACCAAATCTAGATTTGTGGTGGCAGAGTTGGGTCTTCTGAGTTAGAGAACTTCTTCATATTCGGCCTATAAGTTGAACACTTCCCATTGCTTCTACACTTAAATTGAGCTTGGAGAACTGTGGATCAGAGGGACCACATTTTCCACATACAGCTGATGCTGGTGGTCTCCTCCTGTTCATTCATCTCCTTCTCCTCTTTCTTTATCTCTGGTTTTTCTTCTCCCTCTTTCTCTTTCTCCTACTCCTGTTTATTTCTCCTTCTCTTCTTCTCCTGTTTATCATCTCTTTCTCCTCCTCCTGTTTATCATCTCCTTCTCTGTCTCAGGGTTATCTTCTCCCTCTGTTTCTCTTTCTCCTACTCCTGTTTATTCCTCCTTCTCTTCTTCTCCTGTTTATCATCTCTTTCTTCTCCTCCTGTTTATCATCTCCTTCTCCTCCTTCTCTGTCTCCGGTTTATCTTCTCCCTCTCTTTCTCTTACTGCTGTTTATTCCTTCTTCTCTCCTTCTCCTGTTTATTATCTCTTTCTTCTTCCCCTGTTAACCTTCTCCTTCTTCTCTTTCTCCAGTTTATCTTCTCCTTCTTTTTCTCCTCTTCTTGTTTATCTCCTCCTTCTCTTTCCTCTTCTCCGGTTTATCTTCTCTTTCGTCTCCTGTTTATCTTTTCTTTCTTTCTTCTTCTCCGGTTTCTCTTCACCTTCTCCTTTACTTTTTCCTCCTCCTGTTTATTTCCTCCTCCTCCTCTTTCTTCTCCAGTTTGACTTCTCCTTCTCCTGTTTAATCTCCTCCTTCTCCTCACCGCGCAGGCGGCGCTCCCAGAGATCTACCCCACCGGGGCTCCACGGAGGGAGACCCTCCGTCCTCCCACGGCAAGCCGCAATTCCCCAACGAAGTCCCTCCCGGGGCGCTGCAGAAACCAGCCCGGCAGAGCGCCGGGCTCGCGGAGAGGAGGGACCAGCTGCGCCCCGTCCGTCCCCCGTGCGCAAAGCGCTCGCCCGCCCTGCGCAAAGCCCGGAAAAGCGGCGGCGGCGCGCGCGTGGGCGTCCCCGGGCGCGCTTGGCCAGGGCTGCGCGGCTTCTGGCTGGGCGAGCGGAGCAGCCGCGGGCTCTCCAGGCGCGGGGAGGGCTGCGGGTGGCCCTCCCTGCCTCGTTCCCTCCGGAGAACCGGCTGAGCTTTGGGCATCATGCTGCTTCTGCCCGGCTGGGTGCTTCTCTGGGCGCTGCTGGGCGCGGGAGAAGGGGCGCAGCAGCCCCCCGCAGGTGAGGACGGCCGGCCGGGCACGGCGCCCCCACCCCGGGAATAAAGACATGGAGGGGGGGGAGAGAGAGAGAAAGCCGGGGATGGCCCTGCGCAAAGGCGCAGCGCTGCTCTCCAATCGCCTCGCCTGTTGCGCGCAGGGGCGCCTTGGCTCCCCCCCACCAAAGCCTTTGGGGGTCTTGGAGAACGATCTGGGGAGGGGGGGGGAAGGATTTGTCTTTGAAAGACCAGCTCGGTTTCTGATTCAACTTCCCTCGAATTTGCGGGGGGGGGAATAAAGAGGGATCCAATCAGGGAGATCCCTGGGGAACCCCAGGAACGCTGGGAGGGGTGGGGGGAGGAAGAGAGGGTGTGCCCAGGCCAAAAAAAAAAAGAGGTCAGTCATTGCAACAAGGAGGTATGTATCGTTGCTGCGGTGCCCCAAAAAATCTTGTTTTGTAGATTATGCAACAGGTCTGGAAGGAATGCAAAGAGCCGGCTGGGGGGAAAAACTGATGTCAGTGCTTGGATAATAAGTAACGTTTGTGTGTCTGTGCTTGTGTGTGTGTATATATATAGATATTTGTCTATCAAACAAAGAGAATGTCTGAAGCTCAGGGTTGAAATGAGAGGTCCTTGGTGCTCTCTGAACTTGGCTGTTTTCTTGCAGGCTGTTTCGTGATCCAGCTAGGTAACCTCATCAGTGCTAGAAGGGAGGGGAGATAAATAGGATCCCCACTTGCTCAGAGATTTGAACTGTGGGGTCCTTGGTGCTCTCTGAGCTTGGTTGTTTTCCTGCAGACGTTTCATGACCCAACTAGGTAACATCATCAGTGCTAGAAGGGAGAAGGACTTGCGGAGAGGAGGTAAAAAGTAGGACTCTGGGGCCCTTGGTGCTCTCTGAGCTTCGTTGTTTTCCTGCAGACATTTCATGACCCACCTAGGTAACCTCATCAGTGCTAGAAGGGAGGGAAGGGGAGATATTTGTCCAAAATGGTATAGGGTTTCCTGCCTGAGCAGGAGGTTGGACTAGATGACCTCCGAGGTCCCTTCCAACTTTATTATTATTATTATTATTATTATTATTATTATTATTATTATTATTATTATTATTATTATTATTATTATTATCCCCACTTGCTCAGAGACTGGATAAATAGGATCTCCACTTGCTCAGAGACTGAAATGTGGGATCCTTGGTGCTCTCTGAGCTTGGCTGTTTTCCTGCAGACGTTTCATGACCCAACTAGGTAACCTCATCAGTGCTAGTTTGGGTAATGAACCATCTGCAAGAAAACAACCAAGCTCAGAGAGCACAAAGGACCCTTGTAGTTCCCCCCCCCCGCGCTTTTCACCTTGATGCCTTCAATTTTAGGAGACAAATGTTGAACTAGAGACCTCAAAAAGCTTTTGGGTTGATTTGGGGCTTAGTCATGCTTTGAATCTATCTGCCTGGGCTTAAAGAGGATCTGTTCTGCGGATAACATGAGTTAAGTGTGGATCTAACTCAATTAATTAAGTGTTGCGGGTTGTCAACAGAGGCCCGGCTAGCCAATGTTGCAGGCTGAAATACGCCTGGCTAGTTTGTGGTTCGGAAGGTGTTGCAAAAGGAGGCAGAGTGTAGAAGCGAAGACACGCTCTGAATAAACTTAAAACATTGCATCACTGCTGATATAGGAGTGTGTGTGTGTGTGGGGGGGGGAATAAAACACCTTCTGCTGCTACAAGACGGAGCAGAAAAACTTGTGCTGGATGTTGGCTGAGTCATTGTTAAAATGACAAAGCCCTGAAGGCTGGAAAAAATGCTGGACCAAGATGCAGGCATGAGTGGGGTCCGCCTTCCCAAATGAGCTTGCTTCCAGAGGAAATGAAGCAGTCATGGGAATTGTAGGCCGTGAAAGAATTGATCATGTGTCCTTGTGTTTTAGTCATGGGTTTTGGTAACAGTGAAGCTTGTTCTTTGTCAGCAAATGAACAACTGCATTCTTTTTGCTGAGGGCGTTGAGGGCTAAGCATGAGATGTTTCTTAGGCCCTCAATTTAATTATCTGTTCCAATTAGTTCTGCCAATCTTCCTGGTTTTTTTTGCCGAAGTGCACAAAGTTCACTATTTGGGACATTACGTGCTGTGAAAATCCAGAGGAACAGACAAAGTACAAGAAGAGCCGTTCTAAGGAATGTAGGAATATTCTTCATTGGCCAAGTGTGATTGGACCCACAAGAAATTTATCTCCGGGACAGAAGCTCTTTATGGAGTATGTCTATGGAGATTCTGAGTTATCCAGATCATAATTGTCAAGGTGTTTTTTCACGAGGCAACTGGACTTTCTTGTTTTTCCTTGAAGACGTTTCACTTCTTATCCAAGAAGCTTCTTCAGCTCTGACGGGATGGTGGGGAATGGAAGGATTTATATTCCTTGCAGACAGCTAGTCATTTGCATTCTTTTTAGAGAGTCGTTGAGGCCACTTGGAGGTTTTCTGTGTCCTCAGGGTCACCTGAGTAGTGCAAATGGGTGTGGAGGAAAACATCCTGCAGCCAAGAAGGCTCCACACCCATTTGCACTCCTCAAATGACCCTGAAGACACAGGTAAACCTCCAAGTGGCCTCAACGGCTCTCTAAAACAGACATGTCAAACACAAGGCCCTGGGGCCGGAAGCGGCCCGCGAAGTGGTTTCATGTGGCCTGCGAAGCCATTTGGAAACAGTGAGGGAATGGCCCCTGCTGCCTTGGCCCTGGCCCAGGCCGGCCAGGAGCCAATGTATAATGTTGTGGTGGCCATCTATGCTGAAACGCATTCAGTCTTAGCTCCACAAGGCCATCTAGAAACACTGAGGAACCAGCCCCTGTTGTGTCGCCCCCGCCCCCTGGGTGCATGTTGGGGAGGTGTCATCCTTTGTGAGGATTGAAGAAATGGACCATGCCTTGGCGCTTGCCCCGGTCCCACCCCCTTCTGCCAGAGACCCTCAGATCTGTCCCACTCCTGCCCAGGCCCCCACAGGCACCCTTGACGTGAACGATGTAGAGCTGGCCATGCCCACCCAGTAGGCCACACCCACTCCATCCACGCCCACCCAGTAGGCTGCACCCACCCTGGCCCAGTAGGCTGCACCCACCGGCCCCCCAAGGGCAACCGCAATGCTGATGCGGCCCTCAGTGAAATTGAGTTTGACACCCCTGCACTAAAAGAAGGCAGATGACCAATTGTCTGCAAAGAATATAAATCCTTCCATTCCCCACCATCCAGTCAGAGCTGAAGAAGCTTCTTGGATGAGAAGTGAAATGTCTTCAAAGAAAAACAAAGTCCAGTTGCCTCCAGAAAAAGTACTTTTGGGACAAGCTCTCAGTATCAGCCAAAGTCCATTTAAAGTAATCAAAATTGACATTATGAAAAAAAACCAACCATCCACACTTGGACAGTATCTTTATTAGGGCCGAGCAAAGTATCTTTAAAGACATTAAGCCCAAAGTGAATCAATCACATTTCGACTTAGCCAACTGTGTGAATCGAAGTATTGGCTACAGGGGGTCCTTGGCTTATGACCACAATTGAGCCCAAATTTTCTGTTGCTAAGCGAGACGGCTGTTAAGTAAGTTTTGCCCCATTTTACAACCTTTCTTGCTTCAGTTGTTTAAGGGAATTGCCATACTTTTTAAGTTAGGAACACAGTTGTTAAGTGACGTTTTGCCCCATTTTACGACCTTTCTTGCCACAGCTGTTAAGTGAATCACGCCGTTGTGAAGTTAGTAACAGGGTTGTTAGGTGAATCTGGCTTCCCCATGGACTTTGCTAGTCGGAAGGTTGCAAAAGGGGATCACACGAACTTGGGACACTGCAACCGTCATAAGTAGGAGTCAGTTGCCAAGCATCTGAATTTTGATCACGTGACCCCGGGACGCTGCGACCGTCATAACTATGTGTCAGTTGCCAAGCGTTTGAATTTTGATCACGTGACCCCGGGACGTTGCGACCGTCATAAATACGTGTCAGTTGCCAAGCATCTGAATTTTGATCACGTGACCACGGGGATGCTGCAACGGTTGTAAGCGTGAACAATGGCCGTAAGACACTTTTTTTCAGTGCCGTTGTAACCTTGAATGGTCACTAAATGAACTGTTGTAAGTCGAGGACTGCCTATACAGTTAATGGCAGTGTTGTTTTGGCCTACTGACCTGGATTGCTTTCAGTGTATAAGCAATTTCCCTTCTGTACGTACCCTGTTATTACACAACTGCCGTAGTGCATAGCGTACTTAATGCCAGACTGCTCTCCGAGCCAAAGATGCAATACAGGTAGAATACAGGTAATCCTCGACTTACAACAGTTCATTTAATGACCGAAGTTGCAACAGCACTGAGAAAAGTGACTTACGACTGTTTTTTACACTGACGACCCTTGCAGCATCCCCATAGTTACATGATCAAAATTCAGACGCTTGGCAACCAGTTCATACTTATGACGGTTGCGGTGTCCCGGGGTCACGTGATCCCCTTTTGTGACCTTCCGACCAGCAAAGTCAATGGGAGAAGCCATTCACTTAACAACCGGGTTGCTAACTTAACAATTGCAATGTTTCACTTAACAGCAGTGGCTAGAAAAGTTGTAAAAGGGGGCAAAAACTCACTTAGCAAATGTTTCGTTTAGCAGCGTAAATGTTGGGCTCAGTTGTGGTCGTAAATCGAGGACTGCCTGTATTTAGCCTAAGGCACAAACCTAAACTTGACCGTGTGGGTGAGTTTGTCTTCTCCTCGTGACCACGAGTAGCATGGAGGCTATTTCCTTCTGCTTTGGTTTCTCACATTCTCCAGTCCAGGGGTAGGCAAGCTTGGCTCTTTTATGACTCGTGGACTTCAACTCCCAGAATTCCCGAGCCAGCCATGCTGAGGGGAAAGAGAGAGGTTTCCATGCTGAGCCATGCTGGCTCAGGAATTCTGGGAGTTGAAGTCCACGAGTCATAAAAGAGCCAAGCTTGCCTACCCCTGCTCCAGTCTGATTAACACAGGCTATGGTTTGCACTAGGATGCTTTCAGACACTGTTTATCATCAGTGTAATTAAATTTAGCTGGGCAGTTAATCAGAGACAGAAGAAACATTCTCATTTTTTTTCTCCAAATTGGACAGCAGGAGGATGGGCGAGTTAGTTCAGAAACTCAAGGATCACCGTGGCTCACTCCGAGTTTGTGTACTTTGTAGGTCTTGTGTACACAGGACCTGAATCAGTGGTCCACCCAATTTGACCTGTTGCACCATCAAATTGCATGTCTGTGCTTGCACCATCCAAGAAAACAAAAAATGATTATTAAGGTAATTTTTTTTCTTAAAGTCCTAATTGCAAGAATGCTGCGATCTCTGTTACTGTACTGAATAAATTGTGGATGTGGATATCCATCAGAAGCTTCTCTCTCTATTAAAAGTCTGGTACAGAACGCTTAGTAACTAAGCCTTAGTTTCTTAACTAGTTGACTAGGGACTGGGTGTTGTTATGTTACACAACTTGAAAGGAGAGTTGGAAGGTTAAAAGAGCTTGTGTCTCTGGATTTGAATATCTAGTGCAGGGGTAGGCAACCTTGGCTCTTTTATGACTCATGGACTTCAACTCCCAGAATTCCTGAGTCAGCTATGCTGAGGGGAAAGGGAGAGGTTTCCAAGCTGAGCCATGCTGGCTCAGGAATTCTGGGAGTTGAAGTCCACAAGTCATAAAAGAGCCAAGGTTGCCTACCCAATCTAGTGGAAGGACAGTGCATAGACGCTGGAGTCCTTGAGATCCTGAAATACAGGCAGTCCTTGACATACGACCACAATTGAGTCCAAAATCCCTGTTGCTAAGTGAAACATTTGTTAAGTGAATTTTGCCCCATTTCCCGGACTTTCTTGACACTGTTGTTAAGTGAATCACTACAGTTAGTAGTACAGTTACAGTACACTAAGTTACACTTAGTAACCCGGTTGTTAAATCAATCTGGCTTCCCCATTGATTTGGCTGGTCAGAAGGTCGCAAAAGGGATCGCGTGACTCCGGGATGCTGCAACCGTCATAAATATGAGTCAGTTGCCAAGCGTCTCAAATTTGATCATGTGACCATAGGGATGTTGCAACGGTCGTAAGTGTGAAAAACGGTCCTAAGTCACTTTTATCGGTGCCGTTGTAACTTTGAACGGCCACTAAATGAATTGTTGTAAGCCGAGGATTGTCTGTAGATTTTTGAGGCACTTATATGAAAAGGCTAACATGTCTAGTGCTGGTAGCCTGGTTTTGGAGGATGTGTTAAAGGTTATAAATGAAGAACAACAGAGGTAAAGGTTTGTTATGATGACGGAATTTTTGTCCACCTTATAATACAGCTTGGGAATTTGTGCTGTATGTGTGTAAATACCCTAGCGATATCTTGTTGATACTCAGAATGAGGATTCAAAAGATAAAGGCAAGCAAACTTGTTGTATGGGTAGTCCTTAACTAACAACCATTTCCTTAGCGATTATTCAGAGTTACAACGGCACTGAAAAAAGTGACTTACGAAGCGGTGTTTCACACTTATGACCGTTGCAGGAAGTATAATGCTGTGGTGGCTAAAATAGATGCTCAATTCTGGATTACAAACATGATCAGTCCTGGGGGAAATGAAATTCTCTTTGTCGTGCAACTAAAGCAGGGGTAGGCAACCTTGGCTCTTTTATGACTCGTGGACTTCAACTCCCAGAATTCCTGAGCCAGCATGGCTCAGCTTGGAAACTCTCCTTTTCCTCTCAGCATGGCTGACTCAGGAATTCTGGGAGTTGAAGTCCACGAGTCATAAAAGAGCCAAGGTTGCCCACCCCTGATCTAAAGGAAAGAGATACACACCACTGTCCAATTCCTCTTCATCAATCTTCTGATACAACCACTAGTGACACAACTGGCCATCATGCAGAAGGGTGGCAACTACGAAGATCTCTTAATTAGGATTTGCCCTTATTTGTTTGTGGAAATGTTCTAGCTAAATCCAGCTAACCTTGAGATCATTCTTTTTCCACCCTTGTCAAAAGTGTTATCCAAGCAGCTTTCTTCTCCCGTCTTAGTCAAAGGTACAATCCTAGAGACAACGAATACAAGCTGTAGAGAAAACCCCACTTTGTCTCTGTCCATGATGAGGCTGAGCCTCTTTGATTTGGATAAACAGATTCTTCCTCACCCGAATTCAGTGTTTTAAGCTAAGTCAGTTGCCTGGAGAAAAGACGAACTTGGGATTTTGATAATCCAAACGAACCTGCTAGATTTCTGGGCTTCAGATGGCTTTCCACCTAAGGAAAAAATCACTTTTAATATCATAAATTCATAATTCGCTTCCAGAGCCAAGCAAGCTTTACTTTTCTTAGCTGCAGGCCAGAGGCTTAAGTGTTGAGCTAGAATTAGAGAGGCTAGTGTTTTACTTTTTAATTTATTCACTATTAAATTTGTTTGCCGTCACCTAGCTTCGACTTGGTCTCCCACCCTCCATAAATTGTTCACTTACTTCAGTCAAGGTCAGAAAAGATTGTGGTTGTATGGAGTCTAGGCCAGGGCTTTTCAACCAGTGGTACGGGTACCACCTGTGGTACATTGGCACCTGGCAGGTGGTACACGACCATTCTAGAAAAGTGGAGCAGGGGAGGGGAATGAGCTGAACCGGTGGCAGCACCGCACAAGCCTGAGCAAGAGATGGCTGGAGCTGCAGGGCTGTAAGGGCTCAGCGGAAGCGCCAGGATCAGCACCAGGTTCCAGCTGGAGCTCGGCGCTGATCCTGGTGCTTCTGCTGTGCCCTGAAGAAGCACCAATCAGCTGGAAAGCAGCACTGATCCTGGCACTTCTGCTGAGCCCAGAAGAAGCGCCAGGATCAGCTGGAATGTTGCAGCATCTCCAGGGTCTTGTGATTTACATTCAGATGCTTGGCAACTGATTCATATTTATGACGGTCACAGTGTCCCAGGGTCATGTGAAGTGACCAAAACCTGCTGCAACCACCCAGCAGACGGGGGGGAATAAAAACCAAACACCCCCTCACCCTACCCCCACTGCCAATCCTCAACAGAAATGCTCAGAACAATGAAAACCTCGGACAGGAGGAAGAGTGCCGCCGGGCGGGCAGGCAGGTGTCTTGCTCGGCTGTGGCTTGGGGGGCACTTTTTTCAGTGCCATTGTAACTTCGAACAGTCACTAAGCGAACTGTCGTAAGTCGAGGACTACCTGTACTTTATCACTTTTTTCCTTTTTTTTTTTTTGGTCATCAAGTTTTTGACCCCTTGCTAGGCGACTGGTGGTACTCGGATGTTGCCGTATCCTAAAAGTGGTACAATGGGTGAAAAGGTTGAAAAGCCCTGGACTAGAAGACTTGGGCTGAATTTAAGTTGCAATCAGGAGCCTGTTTTCCCTTTTACAGCAGGCCTTCTCCTCGAGTTGTCCTTGGGGAAGTTCAGGAATTTCTTGTTGAATGAAAGTGTCCCAGCTGAAGCTGTCCTGAAGAACATCGCCGGCAACGTGACCGTCATCCTCTTTCAGATGCACGCCCACCACCAAAATGTGACCATTTCCTTCGACAAGGTATTGCAAGTCCCATTTTCCAACAGTCATGCAGAACAGAGGTTCCCCAACCTTTTGGGCACCAGGGACCGGTTCCGTGGAGAGAGGTTTTTCCACGGACCGGAGAGTGCGTGGTTTTGTGTGTTGCCTGCATCCCACGGACGGGACTTTGCTTGTTTGTGCGGACCGGTTGCTGGCATGCTGTGGCCCAATACCTGGGTTGCTGTGCCCAATACCGGCATGCTGTGGCCCACAGACCTGGGGTTGGGGACCCCTGATGTAGACACAGAAATGTTCGTATACTCAGCAAAAAGTACTGTGATGGTTTGTTTTTTTTAATTTTGGTTTCCAGTGATGCAAGTTCTTCACATCAATAGCTGGTTCTTAGTCTGAGTGCCTTGCGTGAGAGCACTGTTTTTCTCTGCTCTGGGTATCATACTAATATCTGGTCTGCTTGTATTTGGAATGGCCCATTAGAATGGTTGTCAAAATTAGTAAGATTCTATGCAGGGGGTCCCTAGTGGGGTGTGCTGGATTGTGTGTTGATTTCTCCCTGAAGCTAAAAGAATGAAAAGAGTGAATCCAATAGAAGAGAAGATTTGTAGTGCAGGGTTCAATTGTGGGGTCCTTGGTGCTCTCTGAACTTGCAGACGTTTCATTACCAAACTAGGCAATATCATCAGTGCTATAAGGGAGGGAGTTTGGGAGGAGGAGAAGGAAGAAGGAAGAGGAGGAGGAGGAGGAGAAGGAGAAGAAGGAGAGGAGGAGGAGGAGGAGGAGGAGGAGGAGGAGGAAGAAGAAGAAGAAGAAGAAGAAGAAGAAGAACAACAACAACAACAAACAACAACAACAACAACAACAACAACAACAACAACGGGTCCTTGGTGCTATCTGAACTTTGTTGCTTTCTTGCAGACATTACATTACCCAACTAGGTAACATCATCAGGGCTAGAAGAGAGTGGGGTTAGCTCTCTGTTTATATACAAGTGGATTACCCTGCCAGTGTAGGTGAGAATGTGGTTTACTAAATTAAATATCATTATTAAATATTAAGGATAGTTAGTTAACACAGAATAAATCACTAAATATTATTAGCAATAATAAATTAGATCAATGCTCATAATTTAATTTCCCATGAAATAGAAATTCTGAACTATATGTTGAGAAGCTCAAATTTAGGGTGGATTATAAATTCCTATATTAAATTACAATCCAGCAATTCCAGTTGCATTGAATTCTACATCAAATTTACTTTTTGGAGGTGAAGTTATTCTGGACCCTAAAGTATATTCCTGCAAGTTGATTAGCCATTCTTTACTACTATTTTTAATTAGAATTGTTTATCAGTTTATAAGCTGCCTAGGAAGTAGGGTTACCTTGAAAAGTGGGCTATTAACAAGATAACAACCGAAGAAAATTGAATGAAAATATTCGTTTCTAGAAATGCACAATAATTTATTTCATTTCTCAGGAACTAGCAACTCCTAACAACTCAGGAACTGGAATAGACAAAGGATTAATTTCGGTGCTTCGACCTGAACAAACTGTGTGCACCTGGTATTTGCGAGCTGTGGGTTCGAATCAGGTGTTGAGCGCAGCGGTTTCTTTACCATACACTGAAAAAGGTACGTTTGGTCTTACTGAGGTTCAAACTAAATGGAATATTGCTTCATCTATCTATCTATCTATCTATCTATCTATCTATCTATCTATCTATCTATCTATCTATCTATCTATCTATCTATCTATCTATCTATCTATCTATCTATCTATCTATCTATCTATCTATCATCTACAGTATCTCTCTAGATCTGTGTGTCTAACATCTCTGTCATCCATCTATCTACCACAATTGAGCCCAGTTGTTAAGTGAATTTTGCCCCATTTTACAACCTTTCTTGCTATAGTTGTTGAGTGAATCACCCTTGTTGTTAAGTTAGTGGCACGGTTGTTAAGTGAATCCGGCTTCCCCATTGAGTTTGCTTGTCAGAAGGTTCCAAAAGGGGATCACGTACAACGCCGGGACACTGCAACCGTCATAAATATGAGTCAGTTGCCAAGCATCCGAATTTTGATCATGTGAGCACAGGGATGCTGCAACGGTCATAAGTGTGAAAGTCGGCCATAAGTCTCCTTTTTTTAACTCCGAATGGTCACTAAATGAATTGTAAGTGAAGGATTGCTTGCCTATAGCTGTCCAACTGACAGCTATATACATCTGTATACACAGCTGTATATTGTATTTCAGCCTGGGCTCAATGCAACTCGGTTGTATTATTATCTTATTTCAAAGATTATCAAAGATAATATATTATTATCAAAAGCAGTAGATAAAATGTTGTTTCACTTTCAAGATCTGGCATACTCCTTCCTTATTCCTGTTGCTTGATTCTCCCCTCCTTTTTTTTTTTTTTTTTAAATTCTGCCTAGATCCAATACCTGGTGGATGCAACTTGGAATTTGATTTGGAAACAGACCCCAACCTTTATCTAGAATATAACGTGGCTGAGACACACATTAAATTTGCTCCAGCAAATCTGGGGTACGCAAGGTAGGTACACTTGGCTGTTCTTATGTGAAGTAAAGAAAGAGTTCAGAGCAAGATTGTGGGTGATGGTTGAGGTCCATCTTAAGACATGGTACCGTGTTTCTCCGAAAGTAAGGCCTACACCAGGAGTAGGCAACCTTGGCTCTTTTATGACTCGTGGACTTAAACTCCCAGAATTCCTCAGCCAGCTATGCTGGCTGAGGAATTCTGGGAGTTGAAGTCCACGAGTCATAAAAGAGCTGAGATTACCTACCCCTGGCCTACATCAACAATAAGCAGACCTGCATTTCTCAGTCCCAGGGCTTTCCAGAAGGCCTCTGCAGCCGAGCACCAAGCTATGGATTGAATCCATAGCTCGGTACTCGGCTGCTTAGGCCTCCTGGAAAGGCCTGACTGCAAAATGCAGGCCCGAATGCAGCTGCAGAACTTTGGCCCCAGAAGAAGTGGACCGGCTGGGTGGGGCTGTCGGTGCCGGAGGTGAGGTAAGGCCTACCCAGAAACTAAGACCTGGCCTCTTTTGGAGGCAAAAAAAATAAATAAAATTAAGACCCGGTCTTATTTTCGGGGAAACACGGGAAAGAGACTGTAGAAACACTAGCCTATGTCCTTCTGGATTGTCTCTTCTGTAAGGATTTCTGGTGCTACGACTCAATCAAATACAGGTAGTCCTCGGCTTACGACCACAGTTGACCCCCCCCCAAATTTATGTTGCTAAGTGAGAAATCTGTTAAGCGAGTTTTGCGACTTTGTTAAGTGAATCACTGAGGTTGTTAAATCAGTAACACAGTCGTTAAGCGAATCTGGCTTCCCCGTTGACTTGGCTTGTGGAAAGGTCGCAAAAGGGGGAATCGCCTGACTCCGGGACACTGTGCAACCGTCATTAAATGTGAGTCAGCTGCCAACCGTCCGAATGTAAATCCTGTGACCATGGGAATACCGCAACGGTCATAAGTGTGAGAACTGGTCCCCATTTTTTCCCCAGTGCTGTTGTAATTTCGAACGGTCACAGAGTGAACTGTTGTAAGTCAAGAACTAGCTTATTTGCAGATGTTCTAGAAATTTCTCCATTTGCAGTTGAAGAAACCCAAATCTTGTGGATAAGTAACCCAATTCTACCAGGTGTGGTTTTGGCGTAAGGAGGAACAGGAAGTGTGCTGATCATTTTATAGGTGGTCCTTGACTTGTAAACAATTGTGTAGCAACTGTAGAAAGACACAGTGGCCCTGGAAAACGTTGACTTACAACTGGTCTTCACACTTAACGACCGTCACAGCATCTCCATGGTCATGTGATCAGAGTTTGAGTGTTTAGGACAGGTTCACGTGGTCTCTATTTGTGACTTTCTGACCAGCAAAATCCACAAGAGAAGTCAGATGCGGTTAACAATCATGGGGGTTCACTTAACAACCATGAGAAGAAATGTGACGCACTTAGCAACTGCCTTGGTTAGCAACGGAAGCTCTGGTCCCCGTTGTGATCATAAGCTGAGGACTTACTGTAGTATTATATTCTTGCATTTTGTGATGATTTTAGTTCTTCTTTTCATTATACTAGAGACATAATTCATTTCCTACAACTGTTCTTCCTATGTTTTAGCTTCCAGTCTCCTAATCATCAGCAAGAATAGTTGCTCTTCTCAGCATCCTTCTTCAAATATTAAAAGATTTGTCACCATTAAACCAGAAAGAGTCTCATTTCCCAGTTAATTTCACTATGCTTGCAGCATCAACATGCAACTTAATTACAAAAGGCGTAGCAACAACTTACAGGTCAATTATCCAAGGTGTAAACCTGTGGGTTTTCCAAGTGGGGCTGAATTACACTTCTCAGCAATTTTGGGGACTTAGGTCTGCTACTTGAAGTTGCTGCATTTGTATTACAACATGGTTAAAATTGTCCCTCAAATTGAGGTAGCACATGATATATCCATGTAATGTTTTGCAATGGTTCGGAAGTGGTTTGCCATTGTCTTTTTCTGGGATATTTTTTTTTACTATCTCATCCATGCCAGTGGTATTTTCTCATAATCTCTGGTCCAAGTTCTAACCAGGTTTCTCATAATCTCTGGTCTAAGTTCTAACCAGGTTTCACTCTGATGAGTATTTTGAGGTCAAGGATTCATTCATTTTGAAATGCTCTTGAGATCCATAAGTTTCTTTCTCTGTTTGAAATTACTCTTTTACCTGATTGGGTAGGGAGGAACAAAAGATCTTAAAGATTCTGGAGGCATGGCGCAAAGGTGTGGTTCCCATTTAAACCTACTCTAATTTCCTTCTATTATCCAGAGGCTCAAACCCACCATCATGTGATTCGGGAACAAGTCTGGATTCCAGGTGGAGACTCTATTATGATGTCTATCAGTATTTTCTCCCTGAGAACGATTTATCTGAAGCCACCTTTGTGAGTCACATGAAAAGAATGTCTGAAGCTCAAAGTATCCGGGCTCATGGATCTAAAGTAAGTCAACGCTGTTTTTCACTGCAGATGGAGTGATGTTTTGGGTACTCTGGCATATGACTAACTTAAATGCAGAACAGCCCTCTTGGAAACTTGAATGGTTTCTTCCAGTGGGAATCTTTAGGTCTGTGTGTCATGATAGATAGATAGGTAGGTAGGTAAATGGGTAGATAAGCGGGTAGATAGGCGGGTAGATAGGCAGATAGATAGATAGATAGATAGATAGATAGATAGATAGATAGATAGATAGATAGATAGATAGATAGATAGATAGATAGATAGATAGATAGATAGATAGATTAGATAGATAGATAGATAGATAGATAGATAGATAGATAGATAGATAGATAGATAGATAGATAGATAGATAGAGGTAGGTAGGTAGGTAGGTAGGTAGGTGGGTAGGTGGGTAGGTAGGTAGGTGAGTGGATGGATGGATGGATGGGTGGGTAGATGGATGGATAGGTGGGTAGATAGGTAGGTAGGTAGATTGGTAGATAGGTGGATAGATGGATGGATGGATAGGTGGGTACGTAGGTAGGTAGGTAGGTAGATAGATGGATAGATAGATGGGTGGATAGATGTAGATAGAGAGATATAGATAGCTAGATAACTAGATAGAGATAGGTATGTATGTAGGTAGGTAGATACAAAGGTAGGTAGGTAGGTAGGTAGATGGATGGATAGATAGGTGAGTAGATGGATGGATGGATAGGTGGGTAGATGGATGGCTTGATGGATAGGTGGGTGGATAGGTGGGTAGATAGGTAGGTAGATAGATAGGTGGATAGATAGATAGGTGGATAGATGGGTGGATAGATATAGATTGATAGAGAGATAGAGAGATGGGATCTGTGACCCAATTTTTTTCTTTACGTACCATCTATTTTTTATGTCCTCACAGATGATGACGTTAACCAGTCAAGGTAAAACTGAGCTGTACTTCTCTTCGCTTCCTGGACAAGGCGTGATCTACAATGTCATTGTGAGAGATCCTAAGTGGAACACTTCAGCTGCATATGTGCCTGTTCACACATATGCCTGTAGCTTCTCTGCCTTGGTGAATAACTGCTACACCTTTAGTAAGTCAACGGAGCATCCATGGTTGTGTAGAGGCATCAACAGGTGGCCAAAAATGCCAAATGGTCACTAACAAATGATTGAAGACTGCCTGTATCCTCCATAATTTAACATCCATCTTTATATTTTGAGAATAGAGCTGAGAAGAAAAGAATTATCAGAGGAATAAACCAGAGGAATTATCAAGAGAACGTTAAAAGTTGTGTTGGATGAGTTTTATTAAACTTTCTTAGAATATCAGGAAGACATCCTTGAAGTTAATAACAGCCAGTAATTGTGGAGGAGGATAGAGCTAAATTTAGGTAGATTTCTTAGGCAGTATTGCACATTGGTTACGGTGAAAATAGTCAAGATGGCGGCCACAACAGTGTAATAGAAGTTCTGTATATATATAAAAAAAATAGCCAGAGCTTAGGCCACATCATCGCAATCACCATTCCAATGTTTTGACCATATTGGATTTAACAACATGGGGTCATTTGTTTCTCCAAGTGGTCTGATAACTCTAGAAAAAATAAAAGGGTGGCAATTTTAGGACCTGTGAACTTACTTCAACTCCCAGAATTCCTCAGACAGCCATCCTGGCTGGGGAATTTTGGGAGTTGAAGTCCACAAGTCTTAAAATAGCCAAGGTTGGACACCCCTTAATTTAATCCTTCTATAACCACCCTCTGGAGAGTCTTCCTCTAGTTAAGGAGGTGAAGCCATATTTGTTGATGAGAGAACACAATAATAAACCATAGCTTAATCCTAATTCTCTTCTCTATTTATAGGAAGGTTGTCCACTAAAATATTTTTCACCACGTTGGCTCTTCTTGGTCTCTTTATCTGTTTCTTCGGACACAGATTCTGGAAAACAGGTACTTTTAAGGAGGGGTGCTTGATTCTGGGGTAGACCTTTCCCATCAGGGTTGATCTTGCCCAGTGTCAATTCTATGGAATCGTTGGATTGGTAAGAAGTCTAGGATCTGGAGTCTAGTTTATTGTTTTGAACAAAAAAAAAATATAGCACACACTTCTCAATTTAATCCAGAAAAACATTTCATTATGTCATGGAGAGAAGAACCTTTTCCAATGGGATTAAGAATTCTTGTTGTTGTTAGTTGCGAAGTCGTGTCCGACCCATCGCGACCCCATGGGCAACGTTCCTCCAGACCTTCCTGTCCTCTGCCATCTTCTGGAGTCCATTTAAGCTCACGCCGACTGCTTCAGTGACTCCATCCAGCCACCTCATTCTCTGTCGTCCCCTTCTTCTCTTGCCCTCCATCTTTCCCAGCATTAGGCTCTTCTCCAGTGAGTCCTTCCTTCTCATTAGGTGGCCAAAGTATTTGAGTTTAAGAATTCTATGGTCCTTCAAATGTTGGAGCCCCAGTTCCATCCAGCTGGACCAAGATTGTCAGTATATCCAGTGAGATAGAAATAAAAAGATATAAGATGCCAGTTCCACGCCTTGTGCATTGTGAACTTGTGTGGGCCTTTATATTTGTAGAGTGAGACCTTCTCAAGATACCCCCTGGTTAGTGTCCATTTTTGGCACTCCTGTTTTCTAAGAGTGTCGCCTCCTGTCTTGTAGTGGACATTTGCTCAGGAACTGTGTTTTGCCACCGCTCACTGTGTGGGTTTAATCGTTTAATCCTTTCATCTCCTGTTCAGTTCTGGGCCGCTTACAACTAAGAACCAATACAATATATATCTGTAAAAAAAGATATAAAAGCATAATAAAAATATAAAAATATAAGGGCAAAGTGCGGTTATGATTTTGGGGAAAAGCTGAGCAAAGGCGAGAGATGCAACTGTTGTGATGAGGGAGCAAAAAAAGCAACAGAATTTTTGGGGTCAATTGCTGTCATAAGTTGAAGACTCTCTGTACCTTTATATCCTAACATTCTGGAGAGAGAGAAAAAAAGACTTGTTTTAATATATATTTTTTTTATTTTATTTTCCCCCCCTCCCCCTTAGGTTTATTCTTTAGCGGCTTCATCTTCACGTCTTTCTTTTTCTACATTGTCATTACGAAAACATCTGCTCTCAGCTATGATGGTGAGTTGAAATTTTATAGGAAGGCAAATCTATGTGTCCCAGGATAATGTTGCAGGATCCAATCTGGGTCGGTCACCCAGAACAAACGTTTTGTCTTCTGAGCTTTCGGATGTACTGGAATCCATTCTGAGGGAATTTTTCTCTACTGGAATATGTGCTTTGGGCTATTCTCCGTGTGGTATTTATATTGTGCCTGTTGTGTATGGCTTTTTAGGTGTTGACTGAGGTGTGGAGTAACACATCAACGACTTAATATCCAGCCATCAACACCCCAATCAACATCTAAAAAACCACACACAAGAGGCACCACATAAATACTACACACAGAACAGCCCAAAGCACGCACCCTCCTAGATCAGGGGTAGGCAACCTTGGCTCTTTTATGATTCGTGGACTTCAACTCCCAGAATTCTTGAGCCAGCATGGCTCAGCTTGGAAACCTCTCCCTTTCCCCTCAGAATGGCTGGCTCAGGAATTCTGGGAGTTGAAGTCCACGAATCATAAAAGAGCCAAGGTTGCCTACCCCTGCCCTAGAGAGAAATTCCCTCAAGATGGGCTCTAGCAGGAATCCGAAAGCTCAGGGAATTGTGAACGCTTCTTTGCAGGAGGGTGTCTTCCCTGCGGCCCTTAAGGAGGCCGTTGTGAGGCCCCTCCTCAAGAAGCCTTCCCTGAACCCAGATGAGCTAGCTAACTATCGCCCGGTCTCCAACCTTCGCTTTATGGCGAAGGTTGTCGAGAGTGTGGTTGCACAGCAATTCCCTCGACACCTGGATGAAA